ACCTCCTACACCTGCTTCGCTTGCTACACTTCCTACACCTCGTACGCCGCTGCCCAGCCGCCTGGACCGCTGTCTGTTTGCTCAGTGTGTTTTCTAATTTTAAACACATTTGTACATGACATTTCGACTGTCCTGTTTTCGCAAAATGTGTTCTCATATGCACAATTTTGGCTGGCATCCAGCGACGTCGCATTGCGAGTGAACCTGAAACGCAAACAAGCGGCAAATAAACAAATACATAAGTGCGATTGCCCCAGCAGCATGGCTGGCGGTCTTTAGATGTGCTCTTTGCGGTTGGCTGTGACTATGGATATGGGCATCGCAAATTCCTTCCAATCAGATCAAAGTGAGCTGCAAAACTTTTGCGGCGCGCATCAATAAAAGTTATTGGCCATAAATGCGAATCGGATCGGGCTTAAGCATAATTGAGCCAGACGCACTGCAGTCATTAGCATTCATCAGTGTCCGGGCATTTTACGACATTGCTAAAGATATATGGCATCAGCTGAGACGCAACTATTCATCAGGCTGACCGCCAGGCGTGGCGCTAGATTTCCGCATCTGACGGATGGAGAGAGAAATCGTGCACTGCATTGTGGCCATTTCACTGACAAGTTTTGACCGCGATTTGCCAAATAAATAGATTGCTTTTACTTTGTAGTCGCCGCCATGCAATGCCTTCACTTTGATTTCGACTGCGGTCGGCGATGCAAGTAGTGTACAGATTTTATGATATCTGCGGCTCGGTGCGGCCTTCAACCTTGCGCTGCAGACAATGTCAAGTTCGTGTCGGCCCTCGGCTGGCATTTCTAATTTCGACACAGTTTTCCAATTAACAAAGTTAAAAAAAAACAGCAACGAGTCAGAGGACTTCAGACAAACAGCATGACAATGGCTGTCGAAATGTGTGACAAGTGACATATTAAATTCAGGTCGGGACGGGCCCGGAGGCAGGCCAGGGGTCGGTTCACACATCGTATGCGGTACGGTGCGGTACGGCACGTGTTAAGCATTACGCATACGCTGCGTGCGTCAGGCGAGCAATCTAATGAACGACAATAAACAAGACAGGAATAGCACAAGCTGCAGCGCAATTGCACTTTGTATTATGGACCTGGTTCGTCAAAATAAACATCAGATAAAGTGATGAAAACGCTTGATTTATGGCTAAGCAGCCGTTAGCCACGAAAAATTATAAATGCCAGCACACAGCAAATAGCAAACAGCACTCACAGAAAAAAAAAAATGTGAAAAGTTGCCATTGTTTACTTCCGCGAATCACAAAGCAGTGACGTCACAGCGCCACAAGTTGCAAGTGAGAATGCGAAAACGCGCATACGCCATGTCAGCCCGCCGACCAGCAGGTCGCCGCCAAAGACCAAAACAAACGCAGCATGTTGCTGCCCAAAAACAAACGGCCGTGTTAACAGCTGAGTCGGCACTCAGCGAAAGCTTTTTGCCAAAAAAAAAAAAAAAGACAGAAAAGGAAAACTGAAAAGAAAAAGCTCTGCTGTGCCGGCTACAGATCAGCGTAGATCTCATTGCGGTCTGCCGCTCAGTTCGCGGATGCTTTGTCCAGTTCCCACTCGACGGTGCGCCGCTGCAGACGTGCGTTGTATGCCACAAAAGCAAACAGAACAAATTCGATACTGTGTAATTATGCAATATGCAAGAGTGTGTTCGCGTGTGTGTGCGTGTGTGCGTGATTGAAAAGTGCAGTGAAGTGTAAAACGAAAAATAACCATAAACATTTATTGGTAAAGCAATAAAAACAAAATTCATAATAATAAATAAATGAAAATTTAATTTTCTGCCAGCTGGGAAATATTTATTCGTTATTTATATATCTATGCGAAAATGTCGCAAGAATTAATTAAATAAATTCAGGCAATGGCATGTCAGAAGCGTWAAGCACAAATATTTTGCCAGACCATAGATCAAACCGGGCAACAACTAAAGCAAAATCGGCGATAAAAATTTGGGAAAATTCACCAAGCGACAAAAGTGCTTGTCATGGGCTGATGCTGACGCCATCAAGTAGCTGCAAAGCAGCCGGGCCAATCAGTTAAGCAACATCACACAGCAACGACGACAACAAAAACCGAAAGAAGAAAATCAAATGAAAATTGTCAAACAAAAACTGGAAAATTAATTGCAAAAAATACATAAAACGTGCCGCCTTTTATATATAATATATATATAAATATCTATATATATGTAATATACAGATCGATGTTGACCTTAGGACTGTTGGCAATCCAAAAGAATAGAATCGTGTATAGTGCGTGCTAAAAGTACCTGCACACAAATCCCAAAAGGCTCGCCCACTGACGCACTTAGCAGCTTGTTTATGTTTACGAGATCTTGGCTAGTGCCATAAAAATGCCGCAATACTCTCATACCCATTATTAATAACGTTTTTCATTTTCATTTTAATTACCATTTCCATTTCCATTCCCAATTCCAATATTCATCCATCTGCAACTGCCCACGCGGAGGCAGTTAATGAGCCGCGCTCGCCACAGGTAGTCGAGGGAGCATAAATAAATAACATGATGGTCAATCAGGCGCACACACACGTGACAGCCAGAAATATTTATGATACGTTTTTATTTATAATTCGTAGCTGCTTAGGAGAGCCAAGAAACAAAACAAAAGTTGGCAAAGAAAAGGGGAAAACAATATATAAATCGATGGAAGAAAATATTATATATTCTAGAGCAAAGAGTGGCCCAAAAGGGGCCAGCATAATAAGCAGATACACTTATTTATTATTGTAAATTAAATATACTTTGCAAACCATACACTTGCATTACTCACACATACACATCTATATAGATAGCAAATTTACTTTTGCATTTGTAATTTGTTGCTCTTGGCGCAAAATGGCGGCCGCAATCGTTGAAATTTTCAATTATTCCGTTGATTTTTGCTCGCATTCGCCATTCCTTTCCTATATGTTCTTTTATTTTCTTGCGAGATCGCTCTTATTAGTCTTGCTGCCTTTAAACCCGAAATAGATCCATTATTTTAATAGCCTGCTCTAAAGTATTTCGTAAATCGAACAAAAGCGCAAATAGGGGGCGGCTACTTGAAGCTATAATATAAATATATAAACGTGTATATTTCTGGAGCTGTTTTTCTTTGTGCCCAGAGAGCGAGAGAGAGAGAGAGATAGATAGAGCGGGGGCAAGGGAAAATTATAATTTAAGTGCCATGACTAATGAAAAGTTAATTAGTAACAGTAGCAAAAGGAAAATCACGAAAATCAACAGAAACCTGTAACGGCAACTGCAACGGCAACAGCTGCGGCTGCTGCTGCTGCTGCGGCCATGCCACAGTCACTGCCACAGTCAGTGCCACTGCCACTGCCACAACTTATGGCCACAGTGCACATGCTGCAACTGCAGCAATAAAAATCTTGGCAAAAAAAAAAAAAAAGAGAGAAACCAGCGCCGCATTAAGCAAAGCCAAAGAGCTCCAAAGGGCATGCGGCAGAGATTTGCTGTTAAAATTTTCCCTTATGACAGACAAACAAACACAGAAGGAATAAGAAAACAAATAAGCGCCGAGTTTGTTGCCTTTGCAACTGAAGTGAAATGGAAAATCTAAATCACATAAATACATTAAAAATGAAAAAAAAAAGAAAAATCGCTGCTTGCGCCATAAATCTTAAAGTAGTTTTCCACGAAGCCAAATCAACTGCGAAATTTCTATTTATTTAAGTTTTCATTGTTAGCGCCGATGTAACAAAAACCCGAAAACATAAAGAGAACAAAGAAAATAAATGCCAGCAATTCAGAATTTCGAATTCACCTGTGCTCTATTTTGATTTATTTTTTTTTTTATAGTTTCTGTTGATTTGATTTAGTATTTAGATGTTTGCTGCGTCAGCACAATGCGCACGGATTGACTTGTGTGTCTGTGTGTGCAGTCAGGCGAATGGACGGGCAGTTAAATAGACAGACAAGCGGCCAGACAGACGAACAGACGTACAAACAGGCAATCCATCGACACCTTTGCCACTTCGTTAGACAAATTTGCCGGCACACGCAGCGTATGCGCAATGTTTGCGCTCAGCGCGCGTGCTAAGGGCGAATAGAGTGATATGATTTCAACAGTTGGTTTACTTTATAATTAACTTGCCAACTATATTTATAGCCGAGCACACACTCTGCAGCGCGGTGACTTAAGTGCCGCGGCATTTTGTAATTTGCTTTGAGTACTGCGCATTGGCGAAACTAATTCTGTCCGCGCCTGTCAGCATAATTCAATTTGATGTCTCCTGTTAATGTCTCGCTAAAGTTGTTACTGTTTGCTGGCATTGTTGTTGTTTTAGTTGTTGTTGTTGGCCTGCAAAGTGCTCAATTTGTGGTCAGCAAATGCTCGAAATGACGGACATGCCAAATGAGCCACCTCTTGACAACAGCAAGCATAGTTCGCCACATATTCAAGCGAAAATTCCCATTAAATGATTGATGGCAAAATCAAAGTGGTTAACTGCGAAATACACACAGTTCAATTAAACCGACTCTGAAGAAAGTTAAGGCGGAATTTAGCCAGAAGAGCAACTCTTTCGATGCGTAATCGAGCGTATTTTTAGCTTCCGAGACCTTCGAGCTGTTGTCTCCGTGCCAGTCAAAATGCAGGCAAACACATTAGCTGGCGGCGATAGGCGATTCGTCGAAATGGGAATTCACTTTGGGTTTCAGCGCGCTGACAATGATGAACCCAAACAAAATCCAAACAGATTGACAGTCAGGAATCGAGCCTCATGCTGGCAGAAAAACATATACAAATGCAAATGTAAATGTAAATGCAATTGCAATTGCATATGTATATACATGAATGCTAATAAATACATATATACATATATACACTGCGCGAAACGAGCAACCACTGAAATATGCATTGAAAACAAATAACTACAAAATATTCAACTACAAATATAGGCAACAATCGTCGAAAATAATTCAATATAAATACTATATTACGCATACGCGCCGTATGCCAAATACTATATGATATATCTTGTGCAAAGCACCTCAAAATCGAAGGGCGAACAAATCAAAAATAACAAACAACAACAAAACATTCGCACTAAAGGTGCGAAAAATGGCAATGTGTGTGAATAACCTGAACCAAGGCGCCAACCCAATCTGCAGACAGCTAAACAATTATGAAATTAATAGTCTCTTAATTGGCGCCGATAATAAGTATTATTGAAAACAAATATTGAACAGCATTGAACTTAGTAGTGCGAAAAGTGCGCGAGTGCGAGAAAAGTCCGACGAAAAGTTGTGTGAAAAGTCCAGCGAAAGTGTCGACAAGCCAAGTTGGCCAAGTTGTAGTTTTCCTTCACTGCGGGCCAACTAGAAGACCTTGCTGCTCTTCGGCAAACTTTGGCGGATCAGTGAACGCATGCACGGCTGGCCATGAAGCACGAGAAGAGCTCTGCCATGGCCGCCAATGGTACGCCCCCGCTGAAGCGCGACAAGCAGCGACAGCAGCCGCTGGTGGACGCGGCCAATCCGCGCAGTCCCATCACCAAGGCCTTTGACTTCCTGCCCTGGTCACGCAGCCGTAGCCGCAAGCCGGAACCGGAGCCGAGCACAGCAGCTGGCGAGAAGCCCGCCGAGGTGCACTACCATCGCAACATCTTTCGCAGCGGCGGCGGCCTTATACGCGACATGCTCGTGGGCGACAAGGACAAGCTGCAGAAGGATAAGCCGCCGCAATCCCCCCTCTCGGAGGCCAAGCGGACGCAGCGCAAACAGAAGCAGCTGTCCCGCAACAAGAGCCTGGACATCCGAGAGCTAATTGGCTGCGTGGACAGCGAGCTGGTGCCGCGCACAAATGCGCTGAGCTCGCCCCAGCCGCAGCGTTTCCTTGACGACACCTACATAGACAGCAAGCCACGGCACATACTCTTCAACGACGACGAAAACACTGTGTATCTCATCAAGAAGGAGCAGCCGGTGGCCAAGGCGCACAAGGCGACGCCCACGCACGCTGCCCGGGACTGCAATGGTGGCGATGTGCTGAAGGCGCGGCTGAAGTTCAAGCGGTTGCCCAGCGACCATTATGCGGCCTCTCCGGAGGCGCTGCGTCGCGCCCAGCAGCTCTACCAGCGCTCCGAGCAACGTCACCAGCTGCAGCGCCGCAAAAGTCTCAGCGACTCGCATTACGAGCAGAGCAGCTCCAGCCTGAGCAGCGGCGGCAGTGGCGTTCACGCTGCGGCCGCGGCCACTGCGAGCAGCATTATGCTGGAGCGACCCAAGACGGATAAGCCGCGCAAGAAGCTCTCCTTTCGCGAGCCCATCGAGGCGGGCCTCTCGCCCGTGGTCATGGCCATGTCAGCGGCCATGGTGAGTGAGCAGCGGCTGGAGCGACAGCGGCGTCGCAGCTCGCCGCTCGAGCGCACCAACGCGCCGCAAATGGGTCACGGCCTGGACTGTGATAGTGTGTGCAATAATCGAATAAAGGATGCTATTCACAGCGGCTGTGCTGCCAGTGATCCGGAGGTGGGTACGCCGCGTCACGGGGCGTATGCGTAATTTGCTTTGTCTTGCCGCAGCTGTCGCTGTCAGCCTGACCAGTGCTTTAACTGCCAGCTGTGCGGCTTAATATTAATTGCTGCTGCTAACCCCCTTGGCCAGCCCATGTGCACAAATACATATGCATATATTGTAGTCCAGTTACGCTCACTGATTGCTGTGTCTGTGTCTCCCTTTGTCTTTTGCAGTCTCAGGCCATGCGCATTGTGCGCACCGTCGGACAAGCCTTTGAAGTGTGCCACAAATTTAATCTTCATAAGAATTCCCTGGAGCCCAATGACGAACGCTCCGATGTCTCATCGTCGGAGCTGCTGGATGTGGAGCAAATCAGCGAGCAGCAGCTCAGCGAAGATGGAGGCGTTCTAACCAGCGAGACGCCAAAGAAAGGTAAATGTTAATCGTATATGAATGCCCCCTCTCTCTCTCTCTGTCTCTTATTGTGTGTGTGTGTGTGTGTGTGTGTGAGTGCATGGCACATGCAATTTTCTCAACAGATAAACCGTCTGATGAACCCCTTCCCTTCACACTGGGTCGTTGTACGCTGTACAGACTGTGGGCCAATAAATAAATGAAAAGCTGGCGCTGTCGACGCCATCGGCTGCTTCCTGGGGCGCATCGTCGTCGACTGCAATGCGATGCTCTCGACACGATGCCGGCCACTTGTGGGCGGCCCTGGGCCACAGACCGAGAACACCCTGGACAGCAGCTGATTGCATTAGTTTTGCAATTCAGTTTGGCATTTCAATGCAAATTTCTTGTGCTCTTTAATTTTGAATTCCGTTCAATGCGAGTCGCAAATTTGCATTTAAATTGCATTCCGCCAGCGACTGGCTAAGAGTAGAGGGACAAACGATTTTCCGGCACCAAAATTTGCTTGTTGACATACAAATATGGCATATTTCCGAATTGAACAGAAATTATTGAGCAATTAAAAGCAAACGTTAATGGGCCCATAAAACAATTTCATATTTTTCATTAACGAAGCAGAAGACCCAGCAGTAATATATGTACATACATGTATACACAAATATATATGTACATAATGAATATTTATTGTTAAATTGAGCCAACGGCTGCTTGACATTCTGCTGAGCGTTAGGTAATTTCCACGTATTTCTTACATTTTCAATCAACTCAGAGCGGCTTTTCACATTTTTCTCTGCCACTTGACGTCATCAAGCTGAATATAAGAAAGGGGCAAAGAAATATTTTCGTTTTATTTCGCGATATTTCGCTGTAAGACGACACAAGCTAAAAAAAAGGAAGCATATTCCCAGAAATAGATATAGAATGTAGTCAAGTAGCTTAAAGTAGCTCGGGAAGCGCTGGCTGGCTGATGCTGGCGTTAACAGATAACAGGTAACAGGTAACAGGTAGCAGGTAATAGGTAAGACAAAACCGAAACATTGTCGCCAGGTTACTTGCAACAAATCACGTGGCTGCCACATATATATATATAGGTGTGTGTGTGTGTGTGTGTGTGTGTGTGGAGGCGTCCATTTAGCATCTTGGCATGTCTTTTGCTCGAGAGTCGTGTGCCAAAAATAATTTATTTACTTTTGTATTTTATATATACATATATATGTTATGTCTCTCTCTCTCCCACTCTCTTTCTCTATCTCACTCCCAGTCTTGTAATTTTGTTAATATTCATATATTTGGTCGCGTCTGTTTGGCTTTTACTAATACATTTATATATATTTATGCGCATGTGTGTGTGTGTGTATTTTATCTTGGCTGCTGTCTTGTGCACAACAGATGCTGCCTTTGTGTGTCTTTGTTGAGAGATTGAACAATGATAATGGAGAGACAGTTGTCGGGGCAGTTAAGCAAGTTGAATGTCTTACAAGGCATAGTAAAACTAAGCAGGGCATTGTTGAAGCGCTGGCTTTAAAGCATGCTATGCTTAACGGGGCTTAAGCTACAGCCAAGGCTTTTGCTTTAGTCTTTATCAAATTTTGATTACATCAATGGAACTTAAGCATCAATAAGGAAGTTAAGAAAGCCATTCAGTTGTATAGTTATAGATATATATCTTTATCTCTTTCATTCATATTCATATTCATATATATTCATATTCATATTTTATAGCAAAAATCTGTATAATTGATTGGGATGTGCAGCTTTTTGTATACTTATTTTTTTCTTGGCTAATTAGGTCATATAGATTGTAAAATTAATGAATCAGTAGATGAAAAGATCTGTCAAGCATATGTGTCTTGTTCTCAATACTTATATAATTCCATATTGCACATGAGATTTATTTCTAGTTCGCGTCCTTGCCGGAAATCGCGAAAGTTCAGCGAGGCAATTTGTGTGAGGGGCATAATTTAGTTTTATATGAACAATTAAACACGCCAAATTAATTTACATGCTGTGGGGAAATGTGTAAGGCCAGCTCAAGTGAAACAGTTCGCAGTTATTAACATGTGCTCAGGTGCGAAGCAGCCAACAGCCGAAATCGCAAATATATTTTATACGATCCCCAAATTGGGATTAACGATTGCCCACGACTTGGCGTTGGCCAATCGCTGTTTCGTGAAACACGCGCAGTTTCTACTGTGAAAGCCTGAGCAGAGCAAATGATTTGCAAAATTTTCTGCCTAACGAAAATTGTTGAAATATTTTGCACACAAATCAAATATCGCAGCGAAATCAAAATGCAAAATAAACAAAACAATGAATAGATCAGGATTCTCGGAGAGGGTAGAGCCGAGAGCGGGAGCTGCTTGTGGGCTATGCTGGGATAATTATATCATTATTTATTGTATATATATCATAATCAAAACAAATATTGAAATCAAGCTGTTGTAATTAAGTGGAAATTAAGCGTTAGCCAGGCCAAGGAGCAGCAGGTATGCTGCGCCAGCCAATGAATGAATGTCTGGTTGTGTGTAAGTGAATGTGTATGTGTGCGAATGTGTGCAGTGACCTTGACAAATGGTTGGGCCTGCTCGGTCAATTTACACGCTCCATTTGGTCGAACATGCAGTGCCTTCTGTCAGCTGCCCACTAATTCTGTGCCCATTTCCGATTATTTATAGAGCACTTGGGCATAACGCCCGATTTGAACCACACGCAGTCACAGCAGCCACAGCGACCGAGCCACTTGGAGCTGCTGCCAACGCAGTCGAGTCTACGCAAATCGACCAGCCTGCTGGTAAGTGAAATGAAATGCCTTATGCCCTATACCATAGCCATAGCCATAGTCGTAGCCATAGCCGTAGCCATAGCCATAGCTATAGCCATATCCATATCGAAATCCTAAATCCAGCATACTTATTAAATACTTATCAGCAAATTAAATGAAATAATGGCCCCGTTGCCAATTTAAATGCCATAAATGCGCAAAAAATAGAATCCATTAGAATATTTCGTTTAGGTCATTCCTATAAATTGGTAATCGCATTCGCATTCGGCCAGGAATCCCGTTGTTTACTTAGCCGAGACAAAAGTGTAAACAAGAAAGTAACATTAAAATCGCTTATTTCACGCCTATGAAAGCCCCGTGACTATGTAAAAATATTTTATATAAATAAATAAAATCCCAAAGTTGAACAAGATTTGAACAAATATTTTGAGAAGCTGTAAAAATTGGATTTTTTATGATTATTAGCTTTAAAAGATATACAAATATATTTTGATGTGAAAAAATCGTTGCAAAACAAAATATTTTCGAAATTCCAATTTATTTCGATTTAGATATTAAATATCTAATTTTGAAATAATATTTATATTTTGTTCGACAAGCAGTGCGATGTGGACGATAAATCAGCTGTTTCTCCCTCATCGCCGCGCACTGAGATATCCCAGCTGAAGGATCAGCTAGAGGCGCAGGCGCAGCAGACCCGTCAGGCACTCGGACAATTGATGCTGGTGCGCGAACAGCTCATCTCGGAGACTAATGCGCGCATCGAGGCGCAGGTGAGTGACAGAATAACCAAAATATCACAATATAAAAATGTACTAACACTCTCTCTATCTTATATCTCTCTCTCTATCTACCTCTCCCTCTCTCTCTCTCTCTCTACCTCGCTCTCTTTCAGGCGCGCACGCAGCAGCTGCTGCAACAGAATCGGGAGCTGCTCGAGCATTTGGCATCGCTGGGCGCTTACAACGAGCAGCAGACGGCGGGTCTGACCTCTGCGAACATTGGCATGGCCCCACAGGTGAGTCCATATTTGAGTGTACCCCATAGCTGTATCCATATTTATATGCATAAGTATTGTGATCCCTGAACGTGCCGAGTTAACTTGAGAGTTTATGTTCATTTGCCCCAGTTGCCGTAAACAAACTGCGCTTTAATTTATGCCTTCATAGTTTGGTTGCCTTCATTATTCGAAAATTAACAAAATTTATGAAAGATAAATAAATAAGAATTCTAGGTGCTCGGCGAGCCCTATGCATGTTTATTTTACTTTGCTGCCCGATCCGCTCGTTCTCCCAATTTGCGTTTTCTTTTGCACGTTTTATTGATTGTTTGTTGTTTGTTGTTCGTTTGCTGTTCATTTGTTGTTCTTGTTGTTCATTGATTAAGTTAAGCTGCAGAGTTAATGACTTGAGATACCCTTTCCAACAGCAGCAGTCACAGCTGCAGCTGCTGCTCCAGGCGACCAGCAACAACAACAACTTGGCCACCATCAATCAGCAGATCAACAATCTGGGCAACATCAATCAGCAGTTGACCTCGCTCAGTCACCAGCTCAGCGGCCTCAATCAGCAGAGCCAAAATCTACAGAATCTGCAGAGTCTGCAGCAGACATCGTCCACGACCACGGCGCAGCAACAGGCTCAGCAGTCGCAGCTGACGCCCCCGACGCCGCCGCTGACGTCTGGCGGCGCCAGTGGTAGCAGTTCATATCCCTCGATGAGCCAGCTGCAGACCATCAGCAATCAGCTGCAGCAGCAGCAACAGCAGCAGCAGCAGGATGCACTGTCCAAGGATCTGTTTCAGGTCAACCAGGAGCTGTTGAATCGCCTGCAGGCAATGAATCTTAATGCGAATGCCGCGCAGCAGACGCAGACACAGACGCCATCGGCCTCGCCGCACAATTCCTACTTCTTCGTGAATCCGCTGTCCTGCACACCAGCCACGCCCAACAACAATGCAGCGGGCGGATTCAATTTTCTGGCCTCGGCCAGCGGCATGAACGCCGGCACGTTGACACCGTCGCCGTTGGGCACGCTGACACGCAACTCATTTGCCGGCAGCTCCATGCTGAACGACGACCTGCGTCTGAGCATAGAGCAGAATCTGAACAACCTGGAGGAGCAGCTGAAGGTGGCGGTGTCGAATGGCAATTTGGCTGGCTTGGCCTGCGGCGGCTCCTCAAGCACCAGAGATACGAGTCGCAGCTCCTCCACATTGGATTCGCCGTCGTCGCCGCGTCAACGCAGCTGTAATAATAATATCAGCCCGAGCAGTAGCAACGGCAACAACAACAACAACAACAATGGGAATGGCAATGGCAATGGCAATGGAGGCAATAATAACAATTCAAGAGAAACCCGCTTCAATACGGTGCTGCTGCGTGTAACGGATGAGGCGGGTCATCAGCGTAAGCTATCGGCCACGCCCAGCTTTATAACGCGCAGCACCAGCGAAAAGGTGCCCAATCGCAGCCAAATGATGAGCCAAGTGCAGCGCACCGCCTGGGCCAGGCACACCACCAAGTGAGCGAGACGCGAGCAAACGCTGAGAGTGGACCAGCTCTTAACTACAGATAGTCAAATTAAGTTAAGGTTGCATGAGAGTGTGTGAATGAGTATGAGTATGAGTATGAGTATGAGTATGAGTATGAGTATGAGTATGAGTATGAGTATGAGTATGAGTATGAGTATGAATATGAGTATGAGTATGAGTATGAGTATGAGTTTGAGTATGAGTATGTGAGCGTTTGAGTAACAGTATTAAATAATAGAGCTCAACTTGTTTATTAGTTTGCATTTTAAGTTGTTCGAAATTCTAGTCCTGCAAGGTCTTTTTCAAAGCATATTCTGAACAGAAGAAGATACTACCACTGCAGCATATCATAAAATAAAGATATAAAATATATAGAATATACACACAATTATATAAATTAACTATGAAAGTATTTGCTCTCCCCTTTAAAGTGTCAAAGTAAATAGTTGCTAAGCTCTGAAAATTATTTTAGCTCAAATCTATTTAGAGAACTGTTGTTATGTAAATGTTATGTTTATGCAAAACTCTTCCACAAATGTTTGCTCAACAAATCTGAAAAAGCTCAATAATTATAAACATTATGTGAACGAATTTCGTAAACAAACACAAAGTTAATTTGATTGCAGCAAATGTTCAATGTATAATATAAAATTTAATTTATCAACTAAACTTTAAGCTACAAACAAATCAATACAGGCAAACAACAAGCAACAACAATAAAATATAAAAAGCATATAAAACAATTAATTTCTATATGGTAAAAAATTCAATATATTTTCAATATATTATCATTATGTTCATTAATAATTGTCACTTTTCGCAGCGTTGGACAATTTCACTAATGAGTTTTACATCGGCAGCGAGCAAAAAATCCATTGCATACTTTCGAGTGCTGTGAATAAAAACGTGCTGCATACTTTTTAGCGCATTTGTATTACGCATACACCACGTTGGATAATGAACGGCCGAGCAGGCAGTGCATAAATTTGGTGTGATAAATGAAAAACGAAGGCAAGCAGAGAGTGCAGCAATAAGAAAACGCACAGAAAAAAAAACAAGTGTCGCCGTTTTTCACTTTTCTTTCTTAGGCTACCCCTCCCCTACTTACGTTTCCCTCTCCTTCCGTCTTTAGTGTTGGTGGACAGCAATTTGCGCACATAACTCATTTGCATAAATTTTCACACTGACTTTTTGTTTATGCCTGACTCATTTCCACAGCTCTCGTCGACGGCCAAAGTGGCCCGCTGGTTTCAACAGCTGCCCTGGCACACCGCCTCGCTGTCCCGCCCCGAGAGCGGCTTCGTCTCGGGCGATTCGCGCTCTGAGAAGTATCAGGAGGATCATTTCTATGGCGGCATGGTGAAGGAAACGGATGATTTATGCGATGAATTTCTGCTCGTCGAGGGCAGCAGCACCATTTGGACTAAGTTGAGCGCCAAAAAACGTCGTAAATTGCTTGGCATGCGTTTGGGCAAAGTGACAACATTTTAGCTCCAGCTCCCGGCCAGCCGTAATGTGTGCGTTTATTAGCTGTTAAGTGCGTTTTTCTTAAGCATAGCCCTAAGCAACGGAGCTTTTATCAAGCCAAGTAGCTAGTTACTTATACATACATATATACATAAATACATTGATATATTAACTTAGGCTAGCGAGTATGAAAATCAATAGACTAAATGACCAAATTAACCCAAAACGAACGACATGCTCATTGAAATGCCATGAACATACACAAACACAAACGTGCACACACACGCTCGAAATGATAAGATCAAAGCAAGATACAAGTAGCAAATAGCCGTAGACGTAAGTCAATTAGCGAGCATAAGGCTTAAGCTCAATGTGTATTTAAGTATTAATAAACTAAGTAAAAGTATTTGGCATGTAAGACACAGATAAGCACACACACAAACACACACACACCCACACACACAAATAGAAGGCAGGTAAACAGGCAGACGTTCAATTCAGGAAGACAAGCTATTCATTTTGCAGACAAAGCGAACGCATTTATCAAACGCCTGCTTGGCTCCAACGAAACAAAAACGAAACGAAGCGAAACGAAACATCATAAAAGCACCGCAATTGCTGCTTAACTTGGCCAACTTTTCATGTTTGAGAAAAACTGGTTATTAAGCTAAGCAAACACAACATGCAAAAAGAGCAAGCGGAAAATGGAGAGAGCTGCAGCAGCTGCCGGCCGGATTTGCCTGCTGGAAACTGAATGGTTAAGTAAATAAGCCAAGTTAACAACAAGGACAGCACAGCAAAACACAACATACATGAACACCCACACACGCACATACGCACACACACTTTGGCTCACAGGAGTAGCACCAGGAGCCGCAGCAGCCACAGCAGCTCCAATGTTTGCTATTCATACATTTTTCAGCATGAAACATTTTTATGCATAAATCGATTTTACTTTTATGCGGCCCTCGTTTTGTGTGCGAGCGATTTTTGGACGGCGCTCTATAAATTTACGCCGTCGGGCTATGCGGCGTATACGTGATTACCGCAGCTGGAGTGGATTTAAACGGACAGCCAGAGCAAGCCGGCGTAGTTACATGGATCAGATCAGCTTAAAGATTGAGTGCAAAGTAACAGGAATTGAATTGCACTCAACACTTTGACATCATTGAAAGTTTCATGAAATAAGTTAGCATTTAGCATATAGAATTTTAATAAGGCGCATTCAGCAGAGAATTCGTGTCAACATTTTCAAGAGTTCTCTGCTAAATGTGCCTTAAGGCTACAGTAAGAGACGATTTCCCTAACGATTTTAAGCTATCTATGATTATACAAATTTGGAAATTTTTTTACGAGATTTTAAATGTTTTAGTTAATTTATGCAACAATTTTTGAGACTGAAACTTAAATTTGTACTAAGCATAAATAGAAAACGCACACAAGCACACACATACATTCGCATTTGTTTTTATGTACAAGTGAATCATTCCAAGCGCATTTTGCAAAACTATCTAATAATAGATTAATTCCATTTTATGTTTTTAAGTTCTGCCACAGAATAAAGTGAGTAATAAAAATTAAACGTACATGCGGTTTTTAATTTGTTGTTGCTGTTGCTGTTGCTGTTGCTGTTGCTGTTGCACACTTTGCTGTTCAATTAATTTAACGTGCTGGGCATGTAATGGAGCCAAGAGCTGCATATCAGCTGGACGCTGAGGGGCGGGCAACAGGACATGGGACATGGCACAGCAAGTGGGCTTGGCTGGCAGCTGGCAGCTAACAAGCGCACTCATGCGCTTGGTCATTGGGCGGCCGGTGGGCGTGTGAGCGTGTGGGCGCGTGGGCGTGGGGGCGTTTATATCGTATATTGAAAATTAGAAAACCCACCCAAGGCGACTTATGTGTGCGGTCATAATTACGAACGACGACATTTGTGGGCGTTCGGGGGCGGTGCGGGGCAGCGCTCTGACTAAAAGCAAAAGAAGCGCACTAATGGAGCGCATGAAAATGAAAAATGAAAAGCGCGACATGCGATATTTTCACTTTCTACTTTTGTAATATTTTTTGTTTTTTTTTTTTTTTTGTGTTGGTTTTTGACACTTTTTGGGGCACAGGCAGCGGACATAATTATACAGAGCTAAAAGCCATGTAAATGTGTAGGCAGCGCGACGACCCTGAAAACAGGAAGTATACACACACACACACACATACACATACACAAATTTATAGACACGCATATAGTGAGCGCACAACATGAAGAACATGTGAGCTATGTGACAGCAACAAGAAACAGTTGAAAGTGCCGCGTGTCCTGTTGTGTCCTGTGCTTCTGCCAACGTCATTCGCATTCACATTCGCACATTCACTCGCCAACATTCACATTTATTGCGTGGCTTCAACGCCAACGTCGACGCGTTTAATTCACATTTTATTTTCGCTGCTGCTGCGGCTGTCGACTGGGCGCGTAATTGTTGCTTCCCTCGACCAGGACTGGGCTATAGTACGTTCGCGTTGGCGCTGCACAGCGGACGTGTGCGCGGCACTCAGTGAATTCACCAGAGCAACCAAGCCGACCATGCAAAACCAGTCGACGGACAACGCGGAGCCATCGATGGCCAACGCAGCGCAGGATTCGGCCGACTCCATGCGCAGCACACCAGCCGCTCAGCCACGTCGTCCCAAGCCTGGCATACTCCGTTTGGACATCAGCAAACCGCGGCGTTCATCAGGTGGTTCTGTGGACTTTCGTTGCGTGAGTGGTGCTGGCGGTGGCGCTGGTGGCGTTGGTGGTGGGGGCAGCAGCGCCAACGTTACGGGCGCCAACAGTGAGGTAAGTGAACATGATTTACTGTACACCAGGGAGTGCTTACGATTTGGCCAGAGCACGTGCAGCCCCACAAACCACACAAGAGCTGCCAACAGCAACAACAATGGGTTAAGCGGAGATATTTATATACGCTTAACAAAAAAGTCACAAAAAATCTGTTAGCTGGGCTAAAACTATTGAAGCTTGACCTTGCTAACAGCCCTTATAAAAGTTCCCAGGTAAAGCAATTGGCGCTAGTCTCACTTTATGATACCCTTTGTCAGCCACTTTAGGAAAACAGGGTATATAAAGTCAATAGCTTAATTACCAGGGCGTAGAACGGCGTAGGGCAAACAAGTTGAGAGGCTTGCCCACACATTGTCACGCTCACTCATTATGGCCTAATTGCTAAAGTGAAATCTCAGTAAGCCGGACGTCAGCTGGCTGGCCCATTAGTTGTCAAAGCGGCTTTCGGAAAAACATGTTGTCTACCTTACTTTAAGCTAAAAAAAAAGTACAAAAACGCACAACAATATTTTCAACTGAGCAAATACTAAAAAACCAATAGAAATTCTCAGCGCAATGGCGGGGGAAGCGGGAGATGTGACATCGATGAACTTTCTGACCGGCAGCAGCTTTGAGGGATCGTGGAACTCCTCGGTGCGTATGATGGATGGCTTTGGCAGCTATCGTTATCCGGATGGCAGCGAGTATCGGGGCAGGTTTTCGCACGGCAAATTCCATGGCTTCGGCCACCTGAAGCTGGCCGCACCCTATCGCTTCACAATCAAGGGCGAGTTCAAGAACGGCAAACTGGTGAGCGTTGAGGACATGTGGTTCAGCGATGGTTTGCATGTGAAAG